AAAAAGATTGTAACATCTATAATTTTTTTAACAATTTAAATTCCAATCCTATTACACAGCATAACAATTTTTATTTTTTTAATAAACAAAAGCTGCACAAACATATTCAATAGGAATACATGGCAATTTTCAACTGAAACAGACAATGTAGTTACAGTATCTAACCAGCAGGGAATTACTAGACCACGCTAATAAACAGTTTTTGACTAATAACAGGACACAATATTCACCCACCATTTTCTTTTTTTCTGATAAAAAATTCATTCATTAAGACAGAAAAGACCTCATTCCGTCACATTATTTCTATTTCAATTAATTTTAGTACATTTTTCATTGTATCACAGTTTAATAAGAATATAAAGACAATAATAAAAATAATATAATAACAATAAAAAATAATTAAATTAAATTAAAAAACATATAACATGAGTTTTAAATCATTCATTTATTCATTTACTTTTCAGCTTAGTCCCTTTATTAATCCGGGGTCGCCACAGTGGAATGAACCGCCAACTTATCCAGCATATTTTTATGCAGCAGATGAATAAATAAATAAATAATTAAATAAATAAAAGGATCGCTTAAACAACACAATGAAACTCTAAGTGTTCTCTTTATTTTTTTAGCAATATATTTCAATGAATCTTATTTAGTTTTTATTATTTAGTTTTGATTGCATCACAAATAGGTCAATAAATTAAAATAAAAAAAAATAAAAATAAAATAAAAAAAAACAATAAATAAAATGAATAAAAATACAAAAAAAATTAAAAATTAAATAATTTTTTATAAAACAAAATTAAATAATAAAAAATAAAATAATAAAATGAAATGAAATAAAAAAGAAGATAAAAATTAAATAAAAAATTAAATTAAAAAATATAAATTAAAAATATATTTATTTGAAAAAGTCAAGTGACTGAACACGAGAAATGAATGCTAAAGAGTTGCAAAACTATTTTACATTTTTCACAATATTTAGAAATGTTGCTGTATTTTTAACAGCCTTAATGTACAAAAGCTGCACATGTGTATTTAATTATTATACTTGGCAACTTTCAACTGAAAAAGAGGGCGTAGTTACAGCATCTAACCAGCAGGGGCTTACTAGGCCACGTTAACACTAGCATTTTGATTAGCATTCTTGTAAATACAACCCCTCAGAGTCTACAACACACAACTAAACAAGCTTGTGGCCTAATGTTGACAAGCCAAACCCTTCTAAGTTACAAACGCCTCACAGCAGAACAAAGCAATGACTTATTCATCGTGCCGGAGGCTGGGTTTTTACTTCTAATCAAACTTTCAGACATTTGATTTCTAATTAACGACATTAAATATTGCATGCCATGAGAAACTCGCCCCTGAGTCTTCCAAGATCCGACTTTCCTTTTCTGTCTTTTGAAACGAAATCTCAGCAGATTACGAACAGATCAGTGTTACACTTTCAAACAAAGAGCTCTGCCTGTGTGTGTGTGGGAATAAAAACCCTTATCAGATAATTCAATTAATCTGAAAGTATATCATCAGACTGACATGCATCGACGTCCCCCTGATGAATTATGGTGCATGAAGCATATCTCCGAACACTCTGAAGCCGCTCAAACAATGTTGAAGCTTCACAGGGAAAAGATTCGCACTTCGGGCTGATAAGACAAAAGCTCTTATCTGGATGTGTTTATGCAAGAGGAGGGAGAAAGAGAATAAGAGAGAGAGACGTGTTTCAGGCCGGTGTGTGTTTCTAACAGAGATGCGGATTTTAGACCTGACAGGACAGCAGGAACACAGAGACACACTGCACTCTAATAGAAGACCTGATAGGGGTTGCTAGGGTGTTTCAAGTGGTTGCTAGGGTGTTCTGAGAGACTGGGAGGTGATAAGTTTAAAATTTCATGATCAAGACTGGCTGACAAACAAAATCAAATATAGAATAAAAAAGGACTGAGAGAGGTGCAGCTTTAATTATCTATTCATTCATTTTCGTTTCGGCTTAGTCCCTTTATTAATCAGGGGTTGCCACAGCGGAATGAACCACGAACTTATGCAGCATATGTTTGATGCCCTTGGATGCCCTTTTAGCTGCAAACCATCTCTGGGAAACATCCATACACTCTCATTCACACTCATACACTACAGACAATTTAGCCGACCCAATTCGCCTGTACCGTATGTATTTGGGAAACCAGAGTACCCGGAGGAAACCCATGCGGACACAGGGAGAACATGCAAACTCCACACAGAAATGGCAACTGAGCGACCAGCGACCTTCTGGATGTGTGGTGACAGCACTACCTGCGCTACCGTGTCGCCCATTATACAATAATGGGTGATACAATATACAATAATAATATTAATAATAATAACATGTATTATTCTTTTTGTTATTATTATTATTAATATTATTATTATTATTGTTGTTGTTGTTGTTGTTGTTTTTATTATTACTATTATTATTATTATTATTACTATTAATTGTTGTTATTATTATTATTATTATTATTATTATTAATAATATTATTATTACTATTAATTATTATTATTATTATTATTATTATTATTATTATTAATATTATTATTACTATTAATTATTATTATTATTATTATTATTATTATTATTACTATTAATTATTATTAAAATAATAATTATTATTATTATTATTATTGTTGTTATCACTATTATTATTATTATTATTATTAATATTATTATTGTTATTTTTAGGTGACGCAGTGGCGCAGTAGGTAGTGCTGTCGTCTCACAGAAAGTGGGTCGCTGGGTCGCAGGTTCAAGCCTCGGCTGGGTCAGTTGCCGTTTCTGTTTGAAGTTTGCATGTTCTCCCTGCATTCCTGTGGGTTTCCTCCGGGTGCTCCGTTTTCCCCCACAGTCCAAAGACATGAGGTACAGGTGTATTGGGTAGGCTTAATTGTCCGTTGTGTGTGTGTGTGTGTGTGTGTGTGTGTGAATGTTTCCCAGAGATGGGTTGCGGCTGGA